CCTGTCCAACAGTCGGCCCTCACCTAACGGGCTATAAGCGGTTACGTGAATGTCTTTACTCTTACAATAGTTTATTAGCTTGTCTTGAGATAATTGCGGGTGACTTTCAATCTGCAAATCAAATTCAATTATTAATATTGAAAATAATGTGACTAATTGTTAAGTACCTGATTAATCACGGGCTTAATTATGGCACTATCGAGGATTCTCAAGATTTGTTGGCTATTGAAATTGGACAGACCTATGGACTTAACAATACCATCGCTAACACTCAACTCCATTTCCTTCCAAGTGTCCACATAGTCCACAGGCGATGGGATTATCAGTTTGTATTTATCCAGTGGCTCATCAATTGTTCCCTCTTTATATCTATTATTATAGTATAATTATTGGACTTTCAAATAGTAATTGTAATAAAATATTATGAGAATGAGTACCCCATCGGCCAATTCATAAGCAAAAGATCGATATAATCGAGGTTTAGGTTTGAGAGCGACTGCCTGATGGCCTCCGCAGCTCTGGCTCTCGAGTGAAACGTATTCCATATCTTCGTCACCACAAAGATGTCCTCCCTTTTGATGATTCCCTGTCTAATCCTGTCATTAATAGCTCGTCCGACTTCGATCTCATTGTGAAATATAAAGGCCGTATCGATGTGTCGATAGCCCGCGTCGATGGCATTGATGACCATATCATACACAACACTCGGTGTCACACCATCTCCTCCCGTCCCAAATCCAAGAATCGGCATTTTTAAGCCATTATTTAATGATAATTCACTGTTTAGATAAGTGGTTACGTTTGAAATGCTAACGCTTTTGGCCGACGTTTCAAACGCTGTTAAAACAAAGAGTAAAATACTCGACAAGAAGTACATATTGGCTGTCATTTTTAAAGACGAAGTTTAATTGAATTGAATTACAGTTATAAAAGCTTTGAAAGCGTTTGAGAAGTGTTTTGTAATTATATAAAGTGGTAGAAATTGGAGATAACATGAAGAACATATGCCAGAGTTCACAACTCCTGTCAAGTATAGTATAAACTGACGCCAATCTTCTCTCATACATCTTAATCTTTGGATCCGTTTTCCTAACAAATAGGAAAGTAATTGAGATTTTATAGCAATTATGAAATCATACCTAACTTTTTGAGGTATATAAAAGACAATTCACTTTTGATTTCTTATATTTAATGAATTATTTTGCAAAATATATGATAATTTAATGACAAAATATTAATGAAATAAACATTAAAATCTATTGAATAGATTAGTAAATCCAAAGGAGTTAGTTTGTCGTAAGTGGGTGATATGTACATTTGTACAGTACCATGGTTAAATTTGTTTATTAAATTCATATGAGTATTAATTCCCGATAATCTAAACGGATGTAAAAATTACTGAATAAAATTTCCATTAAATATATTGTAATCACAAATCACTAAAAATATATATAACTTATAACTTATAAGTTATAACTTATATGACAACGAAATCGCAGTGAAGAAAAAGTTTGTCAAACTTTTTTAAATTGAGTGGTAATTAGCGAAACACTAGATATCGCTGTATTGTATGCGCTATTGAGGGCACAGTGTGTGCACAGGTATGATAG